ATCAGGCCTGTAATTCACGTGCAGGCCGTCATCATAGAGATAAAATCTGTTAATTAGAAGTTACATGAAGATCGTTGTTTGAAAACACAATGGGACTTCCGCTACAGGCCAGACACTGCTTTGCTAACTCAAACTCTTCAGCAAGGAGGTCAACTGTCAATACTGGCGGGAACTGAAATGTCAGCTTCAGCCTCCGAGGAAACAATTATACTGGTACGGTAAAAGAACTGAACAAAGAATTTTGTCGACCCCTCCACAAAAAAGATAAAATTTAAGAGTAACTAACTAAATTGTCTTCCCACTTCGCCTGAGTCGTACGCATTTTTTGCGGTTTATCCCACCGAGGTGCATGGCGTAGACGTTTGACCATGCCATCAATTAGAGAATCGAAACGATTTTCTTTTAAAATTCCAACGTTCAATGAGTGGACAGCAGCCAGAATTTTTCCCACTTCGTACCCAACACTGCAGGGGTAGTAATAGCTCTAGCTTATATTAGAAATATCTGGTGAAAGTAATGAAGTCAATTCCTGTATTATCATTTATGCAGTGGTGGTATTCATGCATATAATCAAAACATTACTGAATGTTGCACAACTCCTTATTTGTAATGATTCGTGACTGAATAAATTCTTCAATCCTGCCTCCGCGAAACACCCCTAGAACAGTTGGCCCTACTCCCCTAAAACAAAGATTTTACTTTGTAAATACGGCGAAGTGTCGTGAGGTCGCAAAATTTTACCAGTGCAATTCAAGGTTTTCTGAAGAAAAAGGATGCTGAAAAAAAGGCTAGAAATATAAACCTCTCTGATAAGGTTACACTTATAACTGACTCCGCTAACAATGTATCAATATCTTCAGAAAAATAAATCCTGAGTACGACCATGGTGGGTTCCGCAGCAACTCTCAGGAAATTTTCTGGTACGGAAACAATGAAGATGAAATTGTTCAAACCACCACTAAAAAAATGTTAAAGGGAAACAATAACTGTTTCCAAATAATCAATAAGAAATACTATTGATTCTGACTACGTACGGTGGAACTGTGATAATAATGTCACTAGCAGATACTTCCTTCCAAATTCCTCCAACATAATTCGCGCAGAGTCTCCACGCTTCTTCTCGGAGTTCAAAATCCTCAAGGCCTTTCGCGAATATTTGCTTCAAATGCAAATCTTAAGCGAGCTTTTAAAACTTT